CGTAAGTTCATCTTTAAGAAAAAATTACTGTCTTTGGACATTTCATATTTTAGAACTGAAAACTTGGAATCTTTTTATATATTCTCTGTGTGTGTGTTGTTTTAAAAATGAAAAATCAAACTTCACTTAGTTTTGGTTTGGTTTTTTATAGAAATAAAGGGTGGCTGAAAAATAAGTGCAAGGATTTATAAGAGGGTAAAACTCATTTCGGTTTAAACATTTAAAATAGTTTTTCTTTTTTTTTAGTAAAAATATTAAAGAGCTGATTCTACACATTAGAATTTCTGATTTTCAGGTAATTCGTTATGGAAGTACTAATAGAATATTAAACTTTTCACTTCTTGGACCTTACAGTTAGAGGCCACATTTGAATTTGACCTGCTGTTGCCCGTAGGGGACCCATGGAAGGGGTGTTGTTCTCCTCAGGTCTTTGTGGTTTCATCTCTAATTTTGCTTCATCTCTAATTCTTTGCTGTGCGTTAACAAATAACCTTTGTTGTTAGCACATATATATATTGAGTGTTAAGAGGTGCTGTCAGGTTGATTAAACTTTTAGGATGTTGTTATAGTACTCCCAGCTTCTGTACTATTTTTTGGCAATTTCTATTGTGGCACAGATTTATTGGTTTAAAAAATAGTGCTTGGGACACAGTACAGAGTTAAGGAACGGTGTCTGTTCTGCAGTAGGACAAATGAAGCCCACATTCCTATCAAAGGCCATGTCTCAATGGTTTCTCATAGCTGGAATTCCACATGACCTGAGGTTTATTGCTGTCACTGAAGAGCCAAAAGAAGAAAGTTGTTAACGAGTCCATATGTTCCCAGATGTGTTCAGCCCAGCTACTATTTTACCAAGTATCTGGTTTGTTCTGGCACTGGGTTAGGTGCTAGGAGTAAGTAAAAGAATATGATACAGTCCTAGGCAAGACCATTGAGGACAATCCTTTATCAAGAACTTTAGTATAATAATATTTTTTTTGTTTTTAGTTTTTATAAATATAGGGGATATTATTTATTATAATTGTTTTCCTGAGATAATCGATTTGCAGGAGAAATGATGAGGCCCTTCCGAGAGGAAACATTATGTGATCAGTGTTACTAAGGAAGCTGTGTACTACCTCGGATCCTCATTTATAAGGGCTGCTCCATACTGTGCTCCAGAATTGGCCTTTTTGTACAGTCTAAGGCCTGACTGTATCTCTAAGAAATTATGTACATGCTCACAGGGAAAACAATATAAAAATGTATTTAAAAACTTGATTTTCCTGACCCCTCTACCCTCTCCACTCATTCTCTCAGTAATGTTGACGTCTAGTGTCTATCCTTCTCACCCCTTCTCCATATTTACTAAAGCATATATATTTGTACAGAGGTAACGTTTGTCTTCCCTCTCTCCCTCTTCCCTCACTTTATCCATTCATCCTCCCTTCCTTCCTCCCTCCCTTCCTTCCTTCTTGCCTGCCTACCTGCCTGTCCGCCTAACTTCCTGCCATCCAGCCATCTAACCATCCATAGGAGCATTGGTTGGATCCCTATTTTAATACATCAGCTTTAACAAATGGTATTTGAGACAATATAGGAAAATTGAACTTGAGCTGGGTTCAAAGTCCATTGCAGAGATACAAACTAAAATAATTATGGATAAAATTATGTGTCTGAGGTTTGCTTTAAAGTACTTCTTCAAAAACAACATAAAAGTGTGTTGAGGAGGATAGCTAGTTGAAACAAAAGACAAAATGTTGAGGCCAGTTAATGGGAACATGGAGGTTTATTATACTAGTCTCTTTTCTTTTATGCATATTTAAAATTTCTATAATAAAAAGTAAAAAAAAAAAAAAAATCACACGGAGAATCAGAATAGCATAGAGCGAAAGCCTGGTTTTGAATCTCAACTCTTCCGCTTACTAGCCGTGACTTTGTATAAGCTGTGTTTAATCGCTGATAATCTTACTGCTATTAATAACATATAGCATTTTAGAATACTTCCAGGTATGTTTTCTATACATTTTAAAGTTATAAAGTTACATAAAATATGTATTTGTAAATATATAAATATAGCAATTATATTATCTGTATTACTTTTTAAAAAATATGTATTTTTTATTTGCAAAAGCTAAAAATGCCCATATAAATTACTAGTCTAGAGTTTGGATTCCCCCTGGATCCACCACGTGAAACAAGAGTCTGTCACTGATTCTTGCCAGGTTTGGGGGTCTTTTCTAGGCCTTGGATGTGTTTTCGAGGAAGCTGATACTTTTTGAGCAGCAGCCAGCAGAGGTGGTACACCTGGTTTTCCTGCATCTGGACCTCCAGGCTGTCCTTGGCCCTCTGGGGCAGGAGTGATGATGGTGCTAGGCAGGCATTGCTGCTGGAGGATGGCATTCACCAAGGGCACATCCAAACCTATAGGCCTCCAAGTTCTGGACCATGGTCACCTTTTTGTTAGAAGCTCTTTGTGCTTGGGTGATGTCAGTTGGGCAAACTTTCCCTTTCTTCACAATAGGCTTTTGTCTGGGAAAGTTCACTTGATAGGCAGGCTGTAGTTTTTCTAAATGTCTGATCAGGTTATCCCATGGAAGCTTCATATTCTATATATTTTAAAGTTTTAAATGGTTAGTTAAATGTATATATATTTTATAGACATACCTTGGAGATATTGCAAGGTTCAGTTCTAGACCACCATAAAGAAGCAAGCCATGGGAAATTTTGGTTTACCAGTGCTTGTAAAAGTTAAATTTACACTATGCTGTAGTTTCTTAAGTGTGCAATTGTGTTTAAAAACATATCTCAATTACAAAATATTGCTAAAATAAGGTAACCAGCATCTGAGCCTTCAGCAGGTTGTAATCTTTTTGCTGGTGGAGGGTCTTTTTTTTAAAAAAAATTTGTTTTCCAATAACAGTTGACATATAATATTATATATTAGTTTCAAGTGGCAAACATAGTAATTACACATTTATATACATTACGAATCGATCATCCTGATAAGTTTAGTGCCTATCTGGAACCATACATACTTATTACAATATTATTGATTATATTCCTTATGTTGCACTTGATATCCCCATGACTATTTATATACCTGGCAATTTGTACTTCTTAATCCTTTTCACCTTTTTCACCCATCCCCCCAACTGCCCTCCCATCTGGTGACCATCAGTTTGTACTCTATCAGTGAGTTTGTTTTGTCTGACTTATTTCACTTAGCATAATACCCTCCATATTGTCACAAATGGCAAGATTCCATTCTTTTTTTATGACTGAGTAATAGTCCATTATATATACATACAACAACTTCTTTATTCATTCATCTATCAGTGGACATCTGTGTTGCTTCCACATCTTGGCTGTTGTAAAGAATACTGAAATGAATATTGGGGTGTATATATCTTTTTGCATGAGTGTTTTGGATTTCTTCAGATAAATACCCAGAGTGGAATTGCTGGGTCATATGGTAGTTTTATTTTTAATTTTTTTGGGAACATCCATATGGTTTTCCATAATGACTGCACCAATTTATAATCCCACCAGCACTGTACAAGGGTTCCCTTTTTGCCATATTTAGGGCTGCTTATCGAGAGTTGCAGGTCATGCTGAGGTTAGCTGCTGCTTGTTTGAGGTCTGTGGACCTTTGCGAAATTTTAGTAAATTTTGCAGCATGAGCCAAGACAGGCTGCTTGTGTGGAAAAGCCGCTGGAAAAGGTTTGGGCTGGTCATGAGGGTTGGGTGGAGCAGTGTCTGGTAATTACTAGGGCAAGGTAAATGGTGTTAGCCAGGTTATTGATGAGCTCAGATTTGGTGCCCTGCTGCACCAGCCTAGCTGTGTGGAAGGAGATCTCAACAAAGGAACAGTGGTGCCTTCTAGCACTTCTGTCCACAGATAGAGCTGTTCTGATCCTGTCCCTTTTGCCCTTGCCCTAAAACTAGTCAATTTAGTTCCTCCCTACACATCCTTGGTGCTTTCTGAGCTGCTTCCCCTGTGCTTGAGCCCAGAGTGAGTGAGTTTGTGAGCAAGCGAGTCTGTGTGCAGGCCTCTCAAGAATAGCGTCTGGTCTTCAGCAGCCCTTCTCACTTGCTGTTTTTCACAGCCAGATGTTATGGGGATTCCTCTTCCCAGCACTGATGCTCCAGGTTGGGGAACCTGGTGTGGGGATGGGGCCCCTTACTCCTCAGGGGGAACCTCTGCAGCGGAGATATCCCTCATGATTCTTAATCACCACACTGTGGGTGTGGGACCTACCCTGTTTCGTATCTTCTGTCTTCGCCCCTCCTACCAGTTCTCTAGATGGCTTCTTTATATCCTTAGTTGTAGAACTTCTGTTTAGCTAGTCTTCAGGTGGTTCTCAATAATGACTGTTTTATTATTTATTTGTAATTAGTTTATTATTTCATTGCTGTGGTTGTGGGAGGAGGCAAGCAGAGTGGTTTCCTGCTGTACCATCCTGACCAAAGTCTCCCACTGTAGATATTTTAAGTGTCCTTAAATTATATATAAATTCAATGTTATTGATACATTTGTTCATTTAACAAATATGTGTTAAACATCAGTTATATGCCAGATAGTGTTCTAAGTGTTGGATGTATAGCAGTGTTTGGAACAGAAAAAAAAAAAAAAACTTCTTTCCTGGAACTTACATTCTAATCTGTAGAGATAGACAAGTAGTTATCTGAGTGATGATTTTATTTTTCTTCATACAGTTTAGAATATTTAGAAGTTTCTCTGATGGAATGCCTATCCTTTTTATAATCAGGGTGGAAGCAGTGAAACTCTTTTTAAGGGAGGAGGTGGAGGCAAGTCGAGAATGGGAATGGAGGCTGTGTTTTAGGGGCCCCAGGTCTGGCATCCCCTGCTGCCTTTGTCAGGGGGTCTAGTCTATAGGCGGGTAGAACCCAAGTATTATCTCCTGGGTGGGATGTTGAGGTGTAATACCACAGGACCATAAGGGCCCGGGGCTGATGGGATCCCTGCTCTGCACTCTGGCTGTCACCCTTGTGGCATCATGAAGTTTTATGCCAATATCTCCTGCAAGGATATTGAGAATAGAGAGCTCTTTTTCCATGTCAGGAGCACCACATCCAGGTTGGCAAAAGTCTGTGTGCTTTGTGTGTGCCAAGACAAGCTATGCTTTTGGACTCCTGACTCCAGGGTCATCTAAGAGGCCAGGGTGTGGTGCAAGGTACGATGGGGAGACTTCTTCCACTGGTTTCTCATGCAAGGTGTTTCAGAAAAGTTCAACAAGATTTACCTAGAGCTAGAATCTGAGCATGTTTTTCAGAGCAGTGAGAAGCACAGAGAATACTTCCACCCTGAAGCTCCAGCTGACCAACAAGCATTGTCCCTGCCTCAGGGTGGCTGTGGAGCTGCTGTTGCCCACAGGTGAGACTTGTGTGGTGGTACACTGTCTGCCTGTGAGGATGCTTCCCTGAAGGGTAAGGGAAGATTTTTTCAGAGCCTAGTGATCAAACCTGTGATGTTAGTGTGCCCGCCACTTTGAAGACTGAAGAGCATTGTAGAAAGAATGGCAAATGTGGGCAATCAAGTGCTAGTTGAAGCATATATAAATGGCAAAATGAACTTGAGTACAGAAACCAATGTCATTTCTATTAAAAGTTATTTTAACAATCTTGGAAATCCTCCAGTGCCTGCTCAGGATATTCCTCAAGACAGAAACCCGAGAGCATGGTGCAAGGGCTGGTAGAGGATAGGAAGCTTCTGCAGTTTTTCCAGGGACAGCAAATAAATCCTGCAACGGCTTTATGTAATATTTTGAGCAATACTCTTCATCTTGTTTTGGCTCATGAAAATGTCACTCTTCAGTATTTCATTCC